CCGGCATGGGCGGGCGGTGGGCAGGTCCCGGCCCGCGGTCCCTCTCTGTGGGGTTGGGTCCCTCCGTGCTTTGTCAGCGGAGGACCTCCCTTTCCCGCTTCTTCAGACGGAGCCTGCATGACCGTGCTGCAGTCACAGATGCCGCAGTGCAGCGCTTGAGGGCAGGGAGCGTGCATCCAGCCCTTAGTGCTCTCCTCGGGAGCACTCGGAGTTTGCTGGGGCCATCCTGGCCCTGCCCTGCTTGGCTTTAGTCAGGGGTTCACCAGGACCCCCCCTTCCTCCTGTTGTGGTGAATGATCTGGCACCTTCCCGGGATGTTATTCCTTCTCCCAGCCAGGTTCTATTCTGAAGCGCTGCTCTTTTTGTTTGCTAAATAAATGCAGTCCTCTTAAACTGCTGACAGCACGAGTACTCTGTTGGGGCAGACAAATGCCTCATGGATGGCAAGCAAATCCAGAAGGATCTTGCAGGACAGAGTGAATGGGCAAAAAGGTGGCAGGTGACATTTATCCTCACAGCATTTATCTCCCGAAGGCTGATAGCAGCCAACTCCTCTGCGTGCACTAAACAGTGTCTCTGCCAGTCAGGGGCAGAACCAGGGCTGGAGGGACTTCGTGTGACCCTGAACTAGCTTCTCCTGCTGCCTTCTTGGGCTTCTGGGGAGCTGAGTGCCCCCTGGCTGCTAAATACACAGCTCCTTCAGGCTGCGTGTCTTCTGTAGGAGAATAAAATCAGAGTTTCTTGGCACTCCAATCTCTGACCAGGTAAGGAATAACTGACAACCAGTGGCCTTCCCTTCTTTTTGCAGAAAGAAAACTGCTCCTGGTAAAGATTGGTCCTTTGGTTGTAGATTAATCAGCTAGTTCAGGGACTTAGGGCACAGTTGATGTCTCTGCAGCCATTCAGCTGGTGGGAGTTGTCAGCAAATTCCCTGTTAATGTGAATATTATGGTCTATGGTGCCTTCCTGCAAAAAAAAATCCCAGAGCTGCATTATAAAGCGTTACTGTGAGAAGAGGTTCGTTTCCAAATACCTGGCAACTATTGGCATTGACTACGGCGTCACAAAGTACGTACCTTTGTGGTGAGGAGCAGCAAGTACTTGGCTCTGTCGAGGCTCCTTAGTTTCCACAGCATAATGTGCATTTTTGCTTTAATAATAAAATAATGTGCATAATTAGCATTCCTCTGATAGCATAGCTCCTCATTACCATGTTACATCCAGAGCTGGTAGTATCCTTCTTGTATACTGTCCTGGGTTCATCTACAGCGGTGTTGTGGCACCTCTTGTCATGGCTTAAACCACGACATATGAAAGGTTCTAGAGGTGTTTTTCTGTCCCGGCACTCAGATCTTCTTACTGAATTTACTATGAGGATGGTGAGGCCCTGGCACAGGTTGCCCAGAGAAGCTGTGGCTGCCCCATCCCTGGCAGTGTTCAAGGCCAGATTGGACACAGGGGCTTGGAGCAACCTGCTCTAGTGGAAGGTGTCCCTGTCCATGGCAGGGGGTTGGAACTGGGTGAGCTTTAAGGTCCCTTCCAACCCAAATGATTCTATAATATTTCTGTCCCTGATCACGCAGGTCTTTCTCTGCAGAGGGATGTAGAGATAAGGGGTATTCCTGCAGGGACCCAGTCTGTGCAAGGGCTGAGGAAGAGCCTTCTCAAGAATTTCCCACTTCTCTTTCAGGGTGCAGGTCAGAGACAGAGAGATCAAGGTGAACATCTTTGACATGGCGGGACACCCGTTCTTTTACGAGGTGAGGGTGAGGCAGACCCAGCCTTGGGCAGCACACCACAAGTCTGCCCCCAGCTGACCCATCTCAGAAGTATGTGGCACCCATTGGTTTTCCTCAGAGCTGTCTGAAATTGGGTTTGGGAGTGGGAAACTTGAAAACACTTTTCTCCAGGCTGAACAAGCCCAGCTCTCTCAGCCTGTCTCTGTAGCAGAGGTGCTCCAGCCCTCAGAGCATCTTTGTGGCTCTGGGCTCATTCAAACAGCCTTCTTGTGTTGGGAGCCCCAGAGCTGCATGCAGATCTGCAGAGGGGGTCTTACTAGAGCAGAGCAGAGGAGCAGAGTGGACAGGTCCTGTAGCTGACTGTAGACTCTTCCAGCAGCTGTCGTGGAGATCCTCAGTCTCCCCTGTTGCTGGCACTGGGCAGACAAGCCACAGAGGCTGCAGCCCCACTCCAGCTGCTGGTACAGACCCCCTTACCCACACCTGCATGCACAGAGGGACATGTTGCATGTCCCTCCAGTAGCTGGGCTTAGACATGTGGTCAGTAGGTCAAGTGGCTGGACCTGGATCTTTGCTTTGCCCTGCTGCTGACACACAGGGAAACACACACATGCCAACAGGCCTCCCAGTGGACTCACAGACCTTCTAGTCTCCACAGGAGCTGGTCTGATGCCTTGTCTGCTGTTGTGCCTCTGCTTTTGTGTGTGTGTAAACGTGAATCTTTTATGGGCTGATCACAATCATATGATGGGCATGGGGGCAGTGTGCTCAACGCGTTAGATGGGTTCCGCATCTGTCATTTTTCTGCACTCTTCTGTTTGTAAGGAGATGAGATTTTTATCACAGAACCAAATAGGGGCCAAGTAAATGGCGATCACCCAAATCCACCAGGCCATGTGCTCTCATCCTGGCTGTCACTGGTGCCCATGCCCTGCCCTTATCCCCACAGGTGAGGAACGAGTTTTACAAGGACACACAGGGAGTCATCCTGGTCTACGATGTCGGACAAAAGGAGTCTTTTGACGCACTGGACACATGGCTGGCTGAGATGAAGCAGGAGCTGGGCCCCCATGGGAACATGGAGAACATTGTCTTCGTTGTCTGTGCAAACAAGGTGAGCTGTGGGGGAAAGCCAGGCTGCCGTGCAGTCCTGATCAACAGCCCTCAGGGCTTGTTGTGTTCCCGACTTGAGCCCAAGCTGCTGAGCTCCAGCTACAGCAAGGGAAATGTTAGGCTGTAGGAAGACTTTTTAAGAGCTAGATGTGTGTGTGAGGAGCACTGGATACCACATTTCAACCAGGTTTTGAGAATGTGGTGGCCACTTGTCAGTCAGGAAGGGATCAAGCAGAGGTGACATTGTCACTGGACTAAACTCAAAGGCCCTTTTCACTTGAATTTTCTGTGCTTTTGTTTCCACACTGCCTCCACCCCTTCAGGATAAGCAAACAGCTCTCCAACCAGACAGGCCTCTTAACTGCTGTTAGATGATCATCCTTGGAGCTGTGTTCCTCCAGCTGCTGCTGCAGACCCTGGCTGGGCTCTCATTTCTGCCTTTTCTCCTGGTCTAGATCGACAGTACCAAGCACCGCAGCGTGGATGAGAGCGAGGGGCGGCTCTGGGCGGAGAGCCGGGGCTTTCTGTACTTTGAGACATCAGCACAAACAGGAGAAGGAATCAATGAGATGTTTCAGGTGAGGTGTAATGAAGGTGGGGAGGGCACGGACGTCACACTGAGCCGTGATATGATGGTAGAGTATCTCCTGAATTGTTTGGATCCCACAAAACCTTTTGGCCCTTTGCTCCAGAGGTGTCTTCCCAGTCAAATGTTGCCCTGAGAAAGCCATAGCTGCTTAGCTCAGGATTAGTATTGGTCCTCCAAGACCTGACCTGCCTGTGGTATTGTGCTACTCAGAACTAATTATCCCACTACGAAGCAGAGATGCTCATATCAGCTATTCAGGTCTAGCACTGGGCTGAAAGGGGTTTGAGATAAATGGGGGGCTTAGCCTCCTCAGTCTGTCCCACAATCCTTGCAAGGACTGGACCCTCCCAGACTGGGAATCTCAGTTCCATACAGCCCAGGCAGTGGGAATTGAACATTCAGCAATTGCACAAATGCTCCTCCAGGCTTCAGAGGATGAGCCTGAAGCGAGCAAGGGCAGTGGGACCTCCTATGCACTGTCACCACCTTTGGGGACCGTTCTTTCCCGCTTACTCCTTCCTGTGTCTGCAGACTTTTTACTCTGCCATCATCGACCTGTGTGACAATGGCGGGAAGCGCCCCCCTTCCAGTGTGGGGGTCGGCTTCACCAAAGAGCAGGCAGATGCCATTCGCAGGATCCGCAACAGCAAGGACAGCTGGGACATGCTGGGGGTCAAACCTGGAGCCACGAGGTGAGGAAGATTGTAGCATTTGCCTGTCTGTCTGTCTGTAATCTCTCTGACCTGGCAGGCTGGTTGTATCTGTGATCTTTTAGTGAGCTGCCTGCTGATAAGCTCACGTTGGTTTATATAGCAACTGAGCACAATTATCTAGCCACAAAATTAAGGCAATGCAAAAGAACCCCTTGGTCCTGAGCACCAAACTTCCTTCTGACAGATAAGCCAGGCTGGAGGCAAGGGGGAATGATGAACATGAGAACTTCAGCCCTGCCAGCTGCCCGGCCTTGCATCCTACCTTTAGGCTAAACCATTTCTGGTCACTGCCTTGCCAGATGTGTTTGAAGCAGCTCCAGCTTTACTTTCCTTGCTCTCCAGGTCTGGAGAAGCTTTCAGGCTGCTGTAAAGGCTGCTGCCCACATTATCAAAAAGAGATTTATGTTATAGCTTTTCCACCTGGAAATGGTACTCCCACAAGTCAAGCTTTCTCTTGTCTTCCTCGGAGGACCTCTACCCAGGGAGAATTGGTCACTGCCAGTGTAAGAGATTGGATATTGAATCTCCCAGTTCTGCTGTATGACATGGGCAGCTAAAACAAGCTCACAGAGCTATACCTTGCTCTCAGAAACATGTGTACTCCTTGCAGAGGGACTAGAGAAGAGATTTTGGGATAACATATCATTCAGGACTCACAATTCTTCCTGCTGGCTCTCTGAAATGCAGATGTTAAGTCTAACCCCTTCTCCAGCCCCCATCATCCGTGGGGAGAGATCAGCAACTCTGCGGGGCAGTTTGTGCTGTGATCACCAGCACAGATGGACTCACTTCCCTCAGGAGGTGCCCGCCTCTCTCCACGGCCTGCAGCTGGAGCTGAGATGTCTGCCTTGGACCAGACACCCGAGGCTTAAAGGGCTGAAGTGATGTGCAGTGCCTTTGCCCAGAGCGTGTAGGCGGTTTGATGTGAAGCTGAGTCAGGGTGCGTGTGCCCCCACGCTGTCTCCCAGCTTTCTGCTCTCCTAATGCCAGAGACTCAGCACACCAGGACACGTGTCACAGGCACATGTCTAGCACGATGGGAGCGTTTGTGCTGGCACAGTCCCGTGGTGGAGGGGGTGTATCTGCCCCGAGAGAGGGGTGCTCCTCCTCCTCTGCTCGTGCCACAGCAAGAAGTGCCCTGTATGCTTTTCTGCAGCTCTTTCTTCATAGCATCACCTCCAAAGCCCAGAGGTCCGTATGCCGGTGAGGAAAGGGTTCAAAAGCTTCTCCACAGGGCTGTTGAGCACCAGGGGAGCTCCTGGTCCTGCTGTGCTCTGCCAGTGGGGGCAAGGCTGAGCCAGGCTGTGTGTCATGTGAGTCCCCTCACTCTTGTCCTGTCTTCTAGGGATGAAGTGAACAAAGCCTATCGGAAGCTGGCTGTGCTGCTCCACCCCGATAAGTGTGTGGCTCCCGGCAGCGAGGACGCCTTCAAAGCGGTGGTGAATGCCCGAACTGCGCTTCTCAAGAACATCAAGTAGGGAACAGACCCACTCAGAACTGGAAACCTTCCCCTCCTCCCAGGTAGCTCCCGTGGGGCACCTCTCTCCTCCTCGTGCTTACTGCTGGCATGGACACACTCTCCCAGCACCAGCCATGGGAGCAGGACTGCATCAGCTGTAGCACCCTTGCGATGTGCTGGAAAGGGGCAGGGTGTTGAGGAGGGCAGAGGCACCCTAGGGCCCTCCCTGCACCCATGGCACCAGGTCATGGTTGGTGTAAGTGCTGAAAACAGTGAGGTCCCCACCTTCTCGGCTGTGTTACACCTCAGGAGAGTTACCAGCCATGGAGGAGTTTGGGTGCGTGACTCTAACCTATGGATGTGGCAGGGGCAGAGTGAGATCTGATCTGAAAGCTGCTGTGCCTGAAAGCATTGGTGTTGTGGGTGGAGGATGCCCAGGAGAGCAGTCAGTTGTCAGTCCTGGGTTATCCTAGAGCTGCCTCTGCAAGGCTGTGGAAGTGTTGGGAAGCACTTGCCAAGCACCAGGGGGCAGTTTAACATCCTGGGCAAAGCTGACTCCTGCCAGCTGACACCCAACAATACTGCTTTTGACAGTGAGGAGAAGGGCAGGTTACTCGAGGAAACCTACTGCAGGGAGAAACTGGCTCCCAGAGTGTCCCCCCCCGCTTCCTCCCGAAGCTGTTGTGGTCCCTTCGCAGGACTGGGGCTCTTCCACCTACTTATCGCAGCACAGAGTCTCCTGCTACCACCTCCTTCTATCTCCCTGAGCTCAGCTCCTTGGGAAGAGCCCTTAAGGCTGCAGTTCCTCAAGTAACATGCTCCCTCTCTCCCATCCCTCTACTCACACCGTGCCAGCGAGCTCTGGGTAGGTGCCACCATCCCCCATGGGTGACTTCTCAGCTGTGGGTGGCTCTGCCTATTTGCAGGCAGGAAAAGGGTGCTGAACCAAGGCAGAGGCAGTTCACCCTCCACTTGGCTGCCTGTCAGCTCTGCCCTTCCTCCCTCTGACCAGCTTCATCTCCTGAGCTTCACCCTGACTGCAGAGCTGTGTGGGTGCCTGTGAGCTGCCTGCTCACTTGGCCTCATGTCACTCTCAGGTTAGGTGAGGGGTGGAAGGGCCATGTTCTCCCCCAACGCTCTTTTCTCACAGCAGCATGTCACCCCTCTTTGCTGGTTGCCTTATAGGTTGCTGATCAGCAGGTGAGTGCAGGTTGCCCCCTCCTAGTCATAGCTGCTGTTTGATTTGAATAGTCTCGTTGATTTAGAGGGGAGCATTGCTGGTCACCCCAACAAGTGCTTGCAGAGGCTTGAGATCTGGCTGCTGTGATCATGAGGGAGGTCAAAGCTGTGAAGGCTGACAGGCTCTTAGGGGAGATCAAATGGGAGATTCCTTGGGCTTTCATGTTTTTTTCAGGACCCAGTTTTAATCTCCTTGCTGCTGTATGAGCTTGGCAGGGAGGGTCAGGACACGAAGCCATGAAATGAAAGCTGCTGAGTGTGTCTATGTGTGTCCTTACCTCACCCCACAGGTATCCTGTTCAAGTGTTTTCTCCTGCGGTCAGTGCAATATGTTTTGTTTTGGTTTGGGATTTTTTTTTCCCATTTCAAGGCAGCTTTTCTGTGTTTCCCCTTCAAAATGTATCAGAAATCAACAGTAGATTTCCCCCCGTCACTTTTGACAGCAAGCATTAAGTGACTTTAAAGCCAGTATCATTTTGCTCTTGCTCTGGTTTCTGGTGCTGGGAAGAAGTAAGTTGTCCTGCCAGGAAGCCCTTTTTGCTTCTCCAGTGTAGAAATGACCAAGGGGAGATGTTGCTACAAGAGGTTAATGTTTAAAATAGCTCCATTTTCCCTCTCCTAGACGCATAAAAAGCTGGGCTAGGGGAGGTCAGTGGGGCAGGCACTGGAGCTGTGGCAAGTTATGCCAACAGGGTCTCATTCCACATGTTTTATAATGCTCTGGAGTTTACTGGCAACCTCCCTGCTTGTCTAGTGGAGGGAACCGCTTCATACTGGCTTCAAACCTATTTCTCTGTAATTTTTTTTTTATTCCCCATTGAAAAGGGTAAATAATCCTTTTGCTGAATGGTGCACTTCATTTCGAGGGTGAGACCTCAGTGCCTGGAGTGGTTTAAAGGCTTCCTCAGTTCCTGCTGCTCAGGGGCTCTCCAGGTCTTTTGTGCTACGCATGGTCCCTCCTATTTGCTCCTCAGGTGACTCTGGCTGTTAGTCTTGGGGTTTCTCCTGTCTATTTACAGAGCTGACCAGACCTTTGGAGACCATTACACACGCATGTCACATCGAGCCATGCCATTGACCTTCTGAGTTGTGTTATTTTTATAAATTAAACCCCACACTTCGGAACAAAGGAAGCCCTGTGAGCTGTCCTCCCGCGGCAACTGCCTGCTGTTAATGTTTAATTGCCCTTTGACTCATTTCTCTCCTCCCCAGCTAGGTCTGGCCAAGGCTGGTGGTGAAGGGCTGCCCTCGAGGGTGATGATGGAGGTTGTGAATCAACTCCGCAGGAGTGGGAGCTGGGTAAGGGATCAGTGCAGCTCTGGGAGTCCCACAGGGACATAATGTGGGATGCACCCTGCTGCGGTGGAGCCTGGCTCTGGGCAGGGGAGGCAGAGGGGTAGTTCCATCCTTGCTCCATGCACATGCACCTCTGCACCAGCAGCCCCAGTAGTATGCTTACTCCATGCCAGCTCCATCAGGACCCCAAGCTCAAGGTTCCTCCAAAAAAGCTGCCACCAACTAGGCTTTGTCTCAGGCCGAGATTCCTACATCTTCCTGCCTCATGTGAAGAGCAAGTCCTGCTGCTGAAGCATGTGTACTGATGTGAAAGCACCAGGGTCCGAATCCAGATGAAGGGGCTTCCCGTTCAGCATCCAGAAACACAGCTGGGAGCCACCTCTGAAGATCTGTGGAATGGGAAACCCCTCAATGTGCCTAGAGGTGGTGCCCTGGCTGTGCTCTTCCTGCCCCTCAGCACTCAGTGGAGCTGGCAGGCAGGGAGGACGTGAGTATTTCTGGTCTGGCCCATGCCCAACAGCCACGGTCTGCTGCTTGCTGCCGCTCCAGGCTCGTGCATCCTGTAACATGCCCAGGAATGAACCCTCCTCTGGGATAAGGCTAAACTCAGCCTGCTTCACAAACCAGTAATGGGTCTCCTTGCTGGCCTTTGAACCAGTTTTGCTGGCCTTTGGACCAGTTAACCTCCCCAGCCAGAGTTCCCTGTCCATGGCCAGCCTGGGATGGCTTGGCCTGGGTTCCCCATGGGGGAACATGTCCCAGGGCAGATGACTAGGGCTTGTGTCCTTCTCCAGTGCTGGCCAAGGCACGGGCAAGGCTGGGCAGCTCAAGTCCCTGATGCTTGTGAGCTCCTCTTCAGCTGCAGCAGAATGGGAATAATGCCAACCATGCCCCAAATCTCAGGGGAGGTGTGGCTTTGGCTTATCATTTTGTTATTAATTACTGCACAGAAGCAATTACTTCCCTGGCAAAGCAGCTGAGATAGCCTCTTCTTAGAAGTGCTGGGGTGAGGACATTTGGGAGGGCAGTGGCTACAGCTTGGTGGAGCCAAGAGTGATTCTCTGGTTGATCAGAGAGGACTTGTGGTAGCAGGGGGCTGATTCAGGGCACCTCCATCAGCTCTGAACTGCAGCCGGTGTTCCAGATCCAGGATGCAAGAGGAGAGCTAAAACACAAGGGGTATCAGTCAGTTTTGGGTGTGATTTGGGCAGTGTAGGCAAAGGGGGTACGCTGAGGGAAGGCCTGGTGTTTCCCTGCTCCCCTCTGGAGGGGGAGCTGTTGTAAGGGGGCTGTGACCCAAGAGAGGGCTGTGGAGAAAGCAGAGTCAGGCCAAGGAAAGCCTGGCAGGTTTTAGGGATTATGGCCTGGCCCCCTGCTCACCCGCCGGCGTCGGGGCCCCTGGCACCCAGCAGGTTGTTTCAGGACGTGGGGGTCCCTGTGGGGGTGCGAGCTGCTGGAGGCGGGTGATGGAGAGGATGGAGTTGGCAGCAGCAAAGCAGCACCAGAAGCGAGGGAGGGACACAGGTGGGG